TATGTATGTATGTATGTATGTATGTATGTAATGTTATGTAATGTTATGTAATGTTATGTAATGTTATGTAATGTAATGTTATGTTATGTTATGTTATGTTATGGTATGGTATGGTATGGTATGGTATGGTATGGTATGTATGTATGTATGTAATGTATGTATGTAATGTATGTATGTAATGTAATGTATGTAATGTATGTATGTGTATGTATGTATGTAATGTATGTATGTATGTATGTATGTATGTATGTAATGTAATGTATGTAATGTATGTATGTATGTATGTATGTATGTATGTATAGGCAACAGTGACTGGGCCTTGACTGGGTAAACCAACTGTTGAATGGGTAAACTCAACCCAAAGCTGGCGAACCGGCGAATGGTTTGATGTCATGTGTGGTGTTTGACTGCTTACGCATACCACGACATCTGGCAAGATCCAGTCTGGGTTCCTGAACCCTGAACCCTGCAAAGAATGAAGTGAGAGCATGGTCATGAATGCGAGAATCTTGCACTGAAGTCATCGGTGGAAACAGGACCAGCTATATGACACGGACTACCGAATGTGCTCGACTTGAATTTGAGAGAAGTCATCGATGAACTGGAACGTGGTCCAGTTGGGGCCCCACAAGGTAGCTGTCATCTGCGCTGTGATGTGCCAGAGGATCATCGGAAGACGTGAACTCAGTTGGAGCAGAACCTGAGTGCTCTGGGGGGACTTTGCAGAACTCGGGGGTTTCCTAAAATGAGGCTACTCCAAGGATGGTTTATAATGGAAAATCCCATTAAAATTTATGATTTGGGGCTACCCCCTATTTTAGGAAACCTCCAAATGTATATATATATATATAGATTGTAGATGAATCATTATTTCCCGATGTTTTTTTTTTTGTTCTCTGGCATTTCAGGTTAGCAAGGGCAACACAAGAACTTGTTGAGTAAAGGGCCTCGCCCAGCGTCCCAGAAATGGATCATAATGGATCGAATCCACAGAAAAACCGATCAACCATGGATCATATCCATAGAAACATATAGAAACCCATGATGCCATGATTTTGCCATGGTTTTTTCCCAAGTCCCTCAGCATCCCAAGCCACGATGGAAAGCCGACGAAAGCCGTCTGCAGGATGCCCAGCATTCGGAGCCGTGGTATAAGGCTGTGCAAGGCCTGAAGCCAGTCGACGCAAGGGCGGCTTCCATGGCACCCGTGAATGGCAACAGCGCTGAAGGATATGCAGGACCAACCAGTGGATCTTCAGTCTTGCTTCAGCAACTGGTGTTTTGTATCGACTTTTGTTTGGCCTGTGATTTCAAGTTTGTTGCTTCCATCCCGTAGAACACATATATTTTATCATATAATGTCATGATCAAGGCCTGAATATGTATGTGCATATAAGAACAAACGCTAAGTCACTAGAACTGGTTGCCTGCGGCCACCACTGATGTATTTCTTCAACCCCCAATTTACGTTGTGTACAGGGAGCTATCAGCAAGATGCATGGATCAAGAACTCTGGCAACCTGGGACCAAGAATCATCATCTCTGTGTTAGATCTCAATGTTGGTCAAAACCACGTTTGGTTGGTCAACGTTATGCCATTCCCCCAATGTGAATCGCCAACATCTTGTGATTCCCATGGTGAAATCCCATGGTGAAACCCCAATTCCAGTAGTGAAATCCCATGGTGAAGTCCCATGGTGAGATCCCCTTCAAACATATGAAATCCCCAGTTCATCCCCAGTTCGTTTCAATGGATTGGTTTAAAACCATCAGCAAATTTTCCCATCAATTTTCTGGGGCTTTTCCGGTGAAGATTTTCCCCAACAAACCAATCCAATGATGTTGACATTTTCCGGTAAATAATTTCTAAAACCATCAAATTTCCGGTAAAGATTTTTAAGATTTTCTAAAACCATCAATTTTCCGGTGAAGATTTTCCCTTAATTTATTCTTGAAATTGGATTCAACGGAGCCCAGGTGTCCCACGTTACCAACGTGGCAACGCCAACGGCACCATGGGCTCTGCGGGATCGGTGGGATCGCGCGGGATTGGCACGGTCAGCGGCTTGCGGAGCTTGTCCTCACGTCGCTGGGACGTTGGACGATCTTGGCCAGGGTGGATGCAAAGATAAGGGAGTTTCCCTGTCTGTTTGGTGGTTTGGAACATTTGGAACCATGGAATTTTTAAGATTTTTCCCATCATATTGGGAATGTCATAATCCCAATAGACGAACTCATATTTTCCAGAGGGGCTGAAACCACCAACCAGCTATATATATATATATGTGTGGTAGGTATGATTATATAACTATGGTATATATATATATAGTGTCCCCCAAGAAGAAAGAAACTATGGCTGAACTAGCTTAACTATGGCTTATGGTAGGTATGACTGTATGACTATAGTATAGGGGGGGTTTATAGTGGTTTATAAACCAACTTATAACTCTAAGGGGCCCCACATTGTATCGATCGTGAAAAACGATCTCCCAGAGTTATTGATCCCATGGGTTGATATACAATGATGATATCATGGTAAGGCCCCCGTTCGATAGCTACATTGACTTATAACTTGGTGAAAATAACTTGGTTAAGCAAGGTTTATGGGAGAATATAACTAATATAGCTATATAAATCTATATAGTTAATGGAATTATAAACCAACTTATGTTTGGCCTCACCTTGTACTAAACCATATGAGCAGTGTTCAAAAGCTCTGTCGGTTGATTGTTGATGTGGTACTACCCGGCCTGGTAAACATACAAAAAACGATGGAAAATCACCACTTTTAGTAGGTAAATCAACTATTTCTATGGGCAATTTTCCATAGCAAACTGTTAGTTTACCGGAGTGTATTCAATATATGTGGGAATGATCACAATCCATTATGGGAATTCCTATAAACCAGCCAGTATAACGGGACGATCAAGGGTTTTGAACACTGCTTATATGGCGATGAGTCAAAAACCCATGAAATCCCCTGTAGTTCACCCCATTCAATAGCTGGGATTTATGGATGTTTATCCCCCAGTGTTTTTCATACAATACGTTTTGATTCATCCACATATTCTATTTGGATAAATCCATCATTTGGAAATCTACGGGATCCTTAAGCAAACCCAACAATGCGATATTAGATTTTTTTTCAAACTTTCAAACTGGTGGATTTGTACTCCATAAAACCAACCATGCCGGGAAACCATGGTGATTTTATTGTTATTAGCTAAAATCACCATTGTTTCCAATGATTTTACATAAACAAATCCAACGATGCCCTTATTGGCTCTTTGTCATTCCCCATAGGATCCATGTATGGTATATATACTAACATTGGGGGTATATTGATGGTAAATGTTACCATATATACCGTACATGGATCCGACATGGGTTATGCAAAGAAGTTGTCCCAACGAGGTCCAGTTGTTCCCTTTGTCACGGGCATGACGGGCATCTCCTGTTGTTCATCGAATCTGAGCCTTGGCAGAACGCGTTGCGGAGCCGTTAAAAGTATGGGGAACATATCCATTTGGATGTGTATATATGTATGGCATCTATGTTTATAATTATAAATATATATATATATACGTAGATATATGTACATTTACATCTACTGAGGATTTTTTTGGGTGTTTATTGTTTAACATTGTGGATATATCCCTTAGATTATCTCATTTAACATTCGGGATTAACATTGACGTAGGCTTTACATCTAAAGTTACATCTTGGCGCAAAACTAGGAATTATGCGGGGACCTACTGTATGGCAAAAAAAACATAAGAAATGGAAAGGTAGATGCAATAATTACAGGTAGATGCAATTATTACATATCATATGGATGGATATGGGGATACGATGTGGTTGGTGGTGTCATTCTCCATGTTCAGGCACACCTAGTTGGCTTGTTCAATTCACCTTTGCCGCTTTGGGATGCGGCAAGCCACATCAGTAGATGTGCAACTGCTAGTGCAAGGGGTTGGGACTGCTACTCAAGTCCTGCAGCATCCATGATTGAGACTGTGACCAGCAATATTTGTGGCTTAGCGGTTTTCCTAAACTTGCACTGGGTCATTCCAGGTGTTGTTAAGGATTGGGGCTGTGCCAAATGTTTCATTTGGAAAGACTCACTGGAATGATCTCTTAAATCAGCCTTCACCAATTTGAGTGGGTGAATTCCATTCAAGTCAAATTGCAGCAGTTGGGGGTTTGCCAAAATGGGTGATCCCCAAAACCATGGGTTTTAATACTAAATGATACTAAATGGTCCATTTCTGGCTGATTTGGATATGACTTCGGAAACCTTCATTTCTCCATGGTAGCCTCTTCAGAGCTCGGGAATGCAGAGCCATCACAGCAATAGGTTGATATTGTCCAAGAGAAGCTGGATGTTCATCAATTAAGGACTCAAACATATCCCATAGGATCCATGTATGGTATATATACTAACATTGGGGGTATATTGATGGTAAATGTTACTATATATAGCATACATGGATCCTATGGGTATGTAAACAACAATCTGTAAGTTCCGAACCTGCGTGTCCAGAACGGACAATGTGATGACAAAAAGCGGTTGACCTACTCGCAAATCATTTTTGTTTGGTGCCACATCTCAGTATTCCTATGTATTTCCTCCCATTTTGTGGACACACCCACAGTATATTTCCCTTCAGTTGGTTCTATCCAATTCCTTTTGCTTCATTTAGATTTTTTTTGATAATTAATTATGTTTCTTTTTCTTGACGAAAGCACGGCTCATTCACCAATTGAGCAGCTAAATCATGTTAAATCATGTTAAATCAAATTTGGTGGTTGGTTGATTTCCCCTTAATTTTACTTGGTGCTTCATCCCAGTTAGTGAGTAGGTTAGAACTCCAATTATATATTACTAGTTTATATAGACCCCGCGTACCCCCACGTACCCTACTCATAGCATCTAGCTTGGGCCATAAGTTACTTGGGTGACTCACCATTTGCCATATTTTCCCATGATTTTAGACACATGATTTCCCCATGATTTTCCAGTGGCCCCAGTGGCCCCAGGTACGCCGTGGGTGAGGACGGTTGCCTCCGCGTTCAGCCCCTTCCCACGGCAGATCCGCCTTTCGATGCCGAGATCGAAAAACCCGTGGCGCGGCGGAATTTCCGGATCTCGCCCATGCCGTTGTCGGCCTTGGCGGCAGCTTGGTGAGGAGATGATCAGATGGGCTGTGCGCCAGTGAAAACTTAGGGGAAAAAATGATCAAAAACCTTAATCTATGGTTAATCTATGGTTAATAATTGGAATAACAATTAATATCTGGTTGGTGGTGACTGGAACCATGGAATTTTATGACTTTCCATCTATTGGGAATGGGATAATCATCCCAACTGACGTTCACGAACTCATATTTTTCAGAGGGGTAGGTCAACCACCAACCAGGGAAAAATATGGAGATGGGCTGCATATGGCTGGTGAAAACTTAGAACTTGAAAAAATGGGGTTATACTATGCAGGTGATATCTTAACCTCATTGATATGAAAACTTGAAACCATATTTTTTTTACTATGAAACAGGAGTTATGATATGTTCTGATTCATGATGGCTAATGATATGCTGTATGCGAGCTGATGATTCTGTAATACAGATGATCCCCTTCGAGCTGTCGATTTAGCCATCAAAGATAGGGATATCATGCGCGTAAACCAATGAATAATCGAAGTGGGTTTGTTCAAGAATGGTGGATACTCCAACTTATCGATGTTTTGCAACAAATTTCTGGGATGAAATCGGATAATTATATGTAATTACCAAATTTGAGATAACTCCATCTCGCAAATGTGGATAGGCACTATCCTGGTGAATATATTATATATAAATCATTAGCGTTGTATGTGACCCATGCTGTGTTTTCTACAATGTTAGTGTTTGATGCTTAAATCATCAATTTGCTTGGTTGTTGCTTAATCCCTAAGTTTTGCTCACTGAATCACGATGTGTTTCAAGATTTCAATCCCCATAAAATCAATGCCCACCCAGTTCTCATCCCAGGTCCCTCAGGTCGAAATTTCCGGAGATGGTTTCATCCCAAATTCTCCAAGATTTCAATGCCCAATTTTCAATGCCCAGATTTTCTGCTGAAACCTCAACGGGGATGATTTTCCAACGGGGCGGATCCCTTCTTGGGATGATGTGTCTTGGCGCAGGGATGATATATGTTTGTTGGGAGGTTAGCCATTATATCATATATATATCATTATATCAAACTCTTGACCTGGCAGCATGTTTTTTTTCGGGACGATTCAGGTGCTGGAAAGCGAACTGTTGGCCTTGGGAGGGCATGATAACACCGTCTCTTTGCATCTTGGCATCGGTCTTGGCATCGGTCTTGGCATGATTTCTGGAAGTTTCGGAGACAGTTGGGGTGATTTGATGATGATTTCTGTTTCTGTGTTTCTTTTGGGAGGCTGCCATGGTGATTTTATTCAAAAAGTGATCAGACATTGGTAAGCGCATGGTTTTTGTCCCTCCAAAGCATGTGTTTTTGATTGTTTTTGTATAGATGTGTGCTTAATCCATACATTTTGTGAAAGCACGGAGACATTCTGGCCATGTAAAGTGGCAAAAAGGATAAAAGAATACCCAATTTGGGATTCATGTGCTTTTGCGACATCTCAGAGTTTTTTTTTGGAAAAGAAACAAACGACATCTCCAGTTTTAGATAATTATATATATACACATAATATATATATAGCAGAAAGCAAAAAGATAGAAACAGCTTTACAGGATGGCGTAGATGATGTTTTCCCCATAAATTCCAGGCTTCAAACTATTGCTTTGGGGGGTGCTATAGATGAATCATTGAATCAAGACCTAAGCCCCAATATATATATATATGATATATTATGCATTTCTTCACACAAATGGGCCATTTGGAGTGTACCCAGACCCTGCAAATATTCCAAACAAATGGTAAAACTATGTAAACATACTAAAATCACGGTGTAAACTTCCATTTTGATGATTTGATGGTTACTTCAACGGAAGGTCTAGGTAAGTTGTATGCTTTCTCATCGCCTTGGATCTGTTGAAACATCCCAGGTATTCCACTTCCTGCGGATCTTCCTTGTCAAAAAGTTCGATGCATGCAGACACCGTGACCTGTTTGGGCGTTTCGCATTGCAAAAGCCTCTTGGTCTCGGGCTCAAGAGATCAATCAGTGGCTTGGCCACGGTCATGCTTCCAGCGGTGCTGGAATTTTTACGAACGCCCAAAACAAACAGCAGCAAAAAGTAGGTAATTAATGGTGATCAACAGTAAATCCCAGTACCTAGTTAATTGTTAATCACTTAATAGTAATCCCAGTACCTTTATCATTAATAGTGTTATTATGGGTTATAATTAATTAATGGTGATCAACCATGATAAAGTAAATCCCAGTAATAACACATCCCCAAATCACCAAATTTTTATGGGCTGGAAGATGTTTCTCCTGACCGGTCATCGGCCCAAAGAGGTCACTAATGAGTGGTTTTTTTTTTTATGGGGAAAAGGTGTGAAAAAAGATGGTTTTAATGGTGACATTAGTGGTTTTAATGGTTTTTAATGGTTTTTAATGGGTGTTTGATTTTTTTGGGGGTTGGTAACTGTCCCATTTTGGGAATATTGGACATCACCAAAAATAGTAGCCATTATAGATTATATACCTAATGGTTGGGTGATGTTCAATGGGGACATTTAATGACCCATGTTTTTTGGGGGGTTGGTTTCTCAGGATTCAAGTGATTCAAGACACAACAATGACCTGTCAATGGTTGATTTTCATGGACTGTGGCCATGTCTAAGAGACAGGTGTCTAATACCAAGACAGGTTGGATATGGCGGACTTGAAAAGTGGGTAGATTTTGAAGATGTACCAGTTCAATTGGTTTTGCAATTCGAACATGAGTACCCCTTCCCATGAGGACCCCTCTCTCCATAGAAGAAATTGCTAGAATATGTGTGTTGATTGTTTTCATGTTCTGTTGTTTGCATGTATTTTAGACTTTGTTTATCTCGAAAAGAAAGAGATTGATAGTGTGGGGATGGGTTAAACCACCAAAAGAATACGGTGAGTTTCGGTGGAGAGAGAGAGAGAGAGAGATGAACATCAATATATATATATATATATCATCCACAAATCATCAGTAAATCATCCAGACTTCATCCACACATCATCATAAATGATCTATAAATATCGATAAATCATCATCAATGATCATAAATCATCATAATTCATCTATACATAATCCATATTTCCTCCATTAAATTAATATTATATATACCATAAATCATCCATATATCATCCATACATCATCAACAAATTAGGGCACCGGGGTCAGCCGGCAGGTGGTGGCGTGGCAGGTGACCCCTAGCGGCTTGAAGAACGACGTGATCTTCGACGATTTGCAGTGGCCTGGCGGTCACCGGTGACACAAAGTGGTTCAACTGGGGAAAACATATGGATCATCATGGACCATGGATCATTTAGTTCATATAATGTGAAACTGATGATAATATCAATAGTGATGATAAATGTGATGAAAATAGCGCTTTTCTTAGAGGGTTAGCCTTTGTTTTTTAGTGCAGTTTAGTAATGTTTAGTACTTAGAAGTACTTGTTGTCTTTTGCCAGAAATGGGAGTCTTTAACGGATAATCTGCAGGATAACTGTAGCAACCAGTACTTGGAGGATCTATCAACTTAGTAAGTGGTGAACGCAACATTTGGTGATCCTAAGTCTCGAGTTTGTGGGGTTATCGCATAAGCGGGATGATCCTCCAAGTAGTTAACCATCCTTTTTGGATGGTTCCCAACTTAGAACCTGATATATCGCCATAGTAACTGGTCAGACCAACGGCCCACTATGGGTTTTATATATAAGTATATAAATCCATAATATTCCTTAACCATAGTCAATAAGTGATCACCATAGTCAATAACTCTATAATAATCAACATACTATTACCATAGTTACTAACTATGAAGATGAACTATACTACTGTAACCCATGGTAACTACTCTTGTTGATTAATCCAGCTAGTAACTATGGTAATTACCAATGCAATATTAATATGCAAAAAGATTGTAATGAGCTATGATTTGGATTCCCATGGCAATTACCAGTGTTTGTTCAATAGCTATATATGTTAAACTACCAGATGAATATTACCCTCTGGTAAGTAAACATAGACCCTGAAAATCACCAATTGTTAATGGTTTCACTAATCTTCCAAATCCGATGACTGGCAGGGTCAAACTGTTAATCTACCAGAGGGTTTCAATTTCAGAGGATATCAATATTATAGACATATAGTAACTTAGTACATATAAAAAAAAAGATACCCTCTGGTAAACTAACGTAGCTTTAGAAAATAACCATTATTAATGGGTAAATCAACGATAAATGGCAATTTTCAATAGCTATGTTAAATTACCGGAGGGTATCTACCATTATTCACCAGATATATCATCACCAGATATATCCCCAGATATATTCACTATAGCTACGTTCAAGAACCCATTTTTCAGGTGTTCCCTTGATCAATCCATGAAGCTCAAAGGCAGCCGGTGGTCTGTGCTGCATGCAGCGGTTCATTGGTCTTGGCGGCTGCCAGTGCCTTGACGGCAAGCGAAGCGCGCCGTTTTGGGCAGTTACTTGGTGACGTGTTATATAAGTGGTGAAAAGATGGGTTATAAGTGGGTTATAAGATGTTAGTAAGTGTTAATAGATGTTAATAATTGTTAATAGATGTCAATGGATGTTAATCAAAGTTGATATTGACTGAACTGATTTAGTAAGTTGGTTGTAAGATGTTATGAGCCCTTAACCAGTGAAGCCAGGCTCCAATGCCCATCGAAGTAGGGGTCAAGGTAGCTGCCCCCCCAAGCACCAATGCCATGTAGGATCATGCAGATAAATATTGCACCATGGAGCATATATGATCATAAAATCATATATGTATGCTTCCCCATTGTTTTAATGCACAGCAACCAACAATTTGCCAAAAATTGTGTTTCCAGGATGGTAGAGACGATGTTTTCCACATATTTTCAGGCTTCCACATAGATGATGACTAGGGGTTGCTATCATCTCCATCTGCCAGGTGATAAGCGGCTCATTTGTTGGGATCGTCGAAGTGGTCAAGCCATCTTGGATCGCGAGTCACTCGAAAACTGCCGGGCGTCACTGGAGCAATGGGAAATCCCCGGTTTTGCTGTTTGCTGGTGATATTTATTATATTTATTCTATATGTTGATAATCTTTGATACATGACATATATAATCATATATACATTACATATATGTTGATAGATTTCGCCTATTACCCTCTGGTAAATAAACATAGACCCTGAAAATAACAAATTTTCAATGGAAATGGAAACTAGTCTTCCAACCCCTATCTGCCAGGGTCTATGTTAATTTACCAGAGGGTACTCAGTAAGCATTTCCGGCCAGCCATGGTTTTTGTTCGCCGGGTCAATGGGACGCCGAGGTTGGACGGCATCGCGACGGCCTGTGCGTTGTCCGATGCCACGGCCTCCGCCTCTGGATCCTAGACCAACATCGGGGTGGTGCCCAGCTATAGCCAGTTTGGGCCATAGGTAAACTAACAGTTTGCTATGGAAAATGGTTCATTTAGTTCGATGATTTACCTGTAGCAAAAATGTGTTTTTTTTTTTATAGTTATGTTTACTGGAGGATGTATATATATATAGCTGTAAGGCTATAGGGTTTAATAGGGTTTGATGACACCAATTGTTGCGGTGAATCATGGAAGTGCGTGTGATGTTTATTATGGGTGGACAGAATCCCCATGAATACTGATATATCATGATATGTCAAGCATAAAGCCAAGTGAAATTGGAGTTATTTGCACCAACTTAGCGATTCCGTACTGGGGTACCACCTTGTAGGAACCTCAGATGTTGCGGGGAATATCTATAGACCCTCCGTTTGTACCCATTAAAATGGTGTTTTACTGCATGATGTTTAGACTTTTTTTGGAATGTTTGGTGGGACTGGGTAGATGCTTGTTGCCCACTGGAATGTAATAGCTCATTTAACCCCTGTAGTCTAACTTCAAGAATGAGAATGCATGGTAATGATTATTAATAGAAGGGGAATAAACTCATGAATTGTTGTATGTAATCTAACCAGCTAGAAATTGATTACCGAAGTTTGGCCATATGTAGACGGGGTTTTCCTCTTCTAGCATTGCGGAATTCCCTTGCCGTGTTGAATTACAAGCTGGGAAGTCCTGACCAGTCTCTCCGTTCAAAAGATGAGGATATGGGGATTTTGCCAACCCAGAATTGGTTGGGAATATCTATAGGAATCCCCTTAACTTGAGGATCAAACGCCTCCTTTACTCTAGATTCTAGATTTGGTTCCTCAAAACCGACTCAAAACCAATTGCATTAACACAAAAATTACAGAAGTCCCAACATACTGGCCCCGTAAATCCCTGAGAGTTCCCTGAAATCCATCCATTTTCCATCCAGTTTCCGGGATGAATCCATGACATCCAGACCTGTCCAGACCTCCCAAGCACAGCCAGGATGCACCTACGCTGCCGGCCTAGACAATGCTGGTGAGTTGCTTGACCTCTGGGTTTTTCCGGCCCCCGGCTCTGGAAATCTATGGGAAATCAATAATCTAGGTCAATCTTACATGGATACTTTAATCCTTTAGTCTTTTGGTATTAATGGGAATATCTACTAACCAGCAAAGATTTTTTTTTTTTGCAGGGTATCTATGGGTATCTAAGATTGGCAATGTAAACCAACGAAAAATGGGTCTGAGTAAATTTAATAACGACCCCACTGTTCTCCCGAACCCTGGAATCATGGTTAGGATTTGGAGAATTATCCCAATATGGTTTTATTTGAGGTTAAATGAATTATTATAATTTGCCCAGATGGGTATATAACAATTGGAATATCATGGGGAGGTACAAAGCAACACAGAATTCCCAACAATAAATTCCCCAAAGGAAAGTGGAGGTAAAAACCAACAACATGTGAATATCATAGGAATATAATGAAGATATACTGGGGAGAATCTGGGGATATCATGGTATGTATATATAATTATATATATACATATATATATATATATAACGATATATAAGCAACAATCTGGTGTTTAAATGCAGAATTTGGTGATGCGTTCCATTTTCCTGACATGAACATGACGAGAAAATGATTGGAGATAGCTGAAACAGTGTGACACACTAATTTAATGAATTATTGCAAAACTCTACCTTAAGATCCTTAAGCAAAGAAGACATCATCTCCCCAAAAACACTTAGCGAAGCATAATACATATCATATTGACGACGTCATGGTTGTTGTCATCACTGGTTTGGTGTTTGGATTTTCTCGAGTCATGGAAAGCTGTTGGTTTCGGCATGCGAGTGCTGGTGAAAGCTTGTTTTAACGATGACACCCGAGCAGTGGCCGCTAAACCCAGTGCAAAATGAGATTTTGTTTGGATTTACACCATTCACAAAGGTTTTAACCATCAACAAATCAACAATATGGAAATACATTTGATGAATAATGGTGGATGGTTGTTTGATGATTAGTTCAGGGTTTATACTCTCTGATCTATCGGGGATGTATGATGCACCAGCAACTAGAGTCTCCTATGACAACGCAATGACAGAGGGTGTTGAACATTGCCCACCAAGTGTCATCGCTGCAATGTCGTCATCCACATTGCCGATCGTCCCTCCGGTGATGCCGTAATGATATAGTTCGTAGCCCGCGTCTGCTTTTGCAAGTTATTTTTCACACTCAAAAAAGGTCATTCTCTGCCATTTCGATATTTGGGTTATGGCTCAGGGGTCCCCAATCGTCCTACCACCAAGCCGCAGCTCCCATTAGGCTTCGATTGTGGGACCTGCGACAATGCAGCGAAAGCCTTCGACTGCAAACCACTGCCAACAGTCCTTCGGGTCTTGCCACCAGGCAGAAGCTGATGGCGTACTGGCATGGAGTATGGCCGAGGAATTTGGGGCCTCCGTGATGGTTATGTTGGTTGTTAAACCCCATTACTGTAACTAGTTAGTTAACTATAGTTCTAAGTTGGTTTATACTCCCCCTTAACTATATTTATACCATATACCTTTACCATAAGCCATACTTAGCCTAGTTAGCTCAACCAACAGGGCTCGCGATAAAAAGAAAGCTCCACCTTTTTCAGGATCCAGGCCTACCTATTTCGGTCAATCTGTGGCCATTCACCACCAAATCATGGGGGTAAACCTGTTGCCCTCGCGGGAACAGAAACCCAACAATTCCCAGGTTGACGGTGTTGAACATCACTAATTTTCCCTTGTGACATTCTTGTGACATTGACCCATCCCACTTTTGAGTTCCAAGGTTTTCTTCAAAGCGTAATCCGCAGGACCCTCCCCATATTTAGGAGCAACAAGAACACATGTGCGTTTTCAGGGTTTTTCCAACGAAACCAATCCTTATGGATCTGAGCATCATCTAAACCACTCATTGGTGAGTGGTTTATTTTTTTCAGATAGCTGGGGGCATCCCATTCATCGAACATCGTAACATTGGCAACAGAACTAGGTAAAAAAAAGTTGTTTTCATCCCACTAACTCCTATAATTTCCTCATGATATTCCTTATTAGATACACACGCATAATATGTGTATATATATACATATTGATACACATTAATATACTGTATACATATACACATTCCCTATCATATCCCTATCTAATACTCCCCATCATATACATTTACATTCCCTATGACCTTCCCTGGCTTCCGGATACCAAAACTGCCTTATGAAAACCAAGGTCACAGCCAACTGCATCTTGGCACTGAAAGTACCCAGGTAGTGTTTTCGGTGGATGAACATGGGGCATTTAAGCATCAAAACCGAAGAAAGATGTTGGATTTAACCAACACCGGGGGGAATTTCTAGTTGATTCATGTTGGCTAAACGGTTGAACAAACTAGCTATGACTAGCAAAAAACTGCTGTGTTAATGGGGTACACCCAACATGTCATTTTAATGGGAAAATGATAAACATCCAGTGGATGCACATCCTATATTGTAGAATGATTGTCGCCATATCTCATCATGATCATCATTACTGTTGAATACTAGTGATAATATGATATTTCTTCTCTTAATAATACTTAATATATGATAATATAATATTATGATAATATAATATGAATAGTTGATATCATCATTTATTGTAACATGCAAAGGCACGTCCAACTGGAACCCCTCCTTGGAACCCCAATGGAACCTCCCCAGCTGTGGACTGCAGCGTTGACACCTCTTAAAGTGACAGATACCTCCAAAGAATGTCCAAATAATCAGAATTCATCTAGACAATACCTTCAAACAATCAACATCCATCAGAATTCATCAGACACAAAATAACTATAAGAATAATGAGATACCCCCCAATTTGAATAGGAACTGGAAAATGAAGATCAACCGATTTCAGAATATGCGTGAGACATCTTGAGACAAGTGATCGGATGATGTTTACAATTATACCCCCGTAGCCTCTGTGATACTGTCATATAGTTGATGGGTAGCATAGCAATAGCATACCAACATACGCATAAAAAAATGCATGCGGTATCCATTTTGCAAATTGCTGACCAATCAGGGACAGCTTTGCGTTCAGCGCGGAGTTGAGATGGACATATCTTTAGGTTTTTCGCTGTGGACGACCGTGCTTTGTATTGTCCATGTGTTCAGGTAAATGTTATTCATTAGTTTCTTTATTCATTTATTCCTTCATCCCTTCATTCCTTGCATCATTATTTCATGCCTTCATTCCTTCATCCCTTCATTCCTTGCATCATTATTTCATGCCTTCATTCCCTCATTCCTTCCTTCCTTCCTTCATTATTTCATTCCTTCATTCCCTCATTCCTTCCTTCCTGCCTTCCTTCCTTCCTTCATTGTTTCATTCCTTCATTCCCTCATTCCTTCCTTCATTCCTTCCTTCATTCCTTCCTTCCTTCATTATTTCATTCCTTCATTCCCTCATTGCTTCCTTCATTCCTTCCTTCATTCCTTCTTTCATTCATTATATGTAATTCATTCATTCATCCGAGATGAATACAGATATAGGATATCACTTAAGATGAAGCAATCCACAGAATTCCACGTAGGGTTTAGTGGACCTGTAAAGCATTCATGCAAATGATGGGATGCTCGTGGAGCTCCCCAATGATCCGAGCCAGTTATTTTTGTTGCTTCATGTTGCTTCATAAACCTGACAGATATATCCACCATAAACCTATTGGATACACCTGGACCACTGGTTAGTTGGGAACTTTTTTAAAGCTAACTTTGGGCCGAGCGAAGTTCAAATCTACAGGAAAACAAGGTTACCATCATATGCCCATTAAAAGATCCCATATCCCCAAAGTTTGCGATACCAACCCTTTTTTACTGTAAAAAAAATGATATTTACATCATGTTAAAAAGTATTTGTCACGTTTACAGAATCTAGACATTAGATCAGCTTTTTATTTGACATGAAGAAACATGGCGAAGTCGAGGTCCCATAGTTTAGCCAAAGTTAGTTCATAAGTAACATAACTAGGCTGCTGGTAGTATCTACGTGTATCTACTACTGAGATAGTTCATGGGATCATAAACCAACATTTCACTGGGGGCTCTACCTTGAAGCTGGTGGACCCTTCGGATCCATAAATCTATTCTATCCATACTAACTAGCTATAAACTACAAACATGAATATAATCCATTAATATAATCCATAAATTTATGATCCATCTTCGAACTGTTTACCTAGTTAACATGATATTTTGTTGACCTATAGTTTCATGATCTAGTTTATAGATCTTTATAGCTTTTGATTTGTTTCGCCCTTGTGTCTGCCAGGTTTCTTAACGGATTTTTCGGACTGGGCCGTCCTGGGTGGTGCTGCGCCCACCGGACATGCCACGGTGGTCCTGTGGGACATTCCGCAGCAGCGAGAGATCCACTCCTGGATTTTGGACGAGCCTCGGGCGACCCGTGCTGGGTCTCGTTACGACCTGCAGTGACTCATGGGGGTTAACCCATAGGACCAATGGAGATATCCCTTTAAAACATGGTATAACATGGTATATCCAAGAATAAACATCAACTACAATGTGAGGCCCCCGGCCACGATAGCGTTCAGTTGGTTTACATAACTCCAATTTCACTATGGTTTATGGTACTTATAACTATAGTTACTGGGGCGAATCTAAACCAACTTATAGCTGGGGGGCCTCACATTGTAGTCATGGGGGTATCCCAAAAGCGTTGGATGGTTTTTTTCATGGAAAATCCCATCGATATAAATGGATGATTTAGGGGTACACCATGGTCTTACCCCACTTACCCTAGGTTTTAGAAAACCTCCAAATGGTGGTTCTATGAGGTCAACAATGGGCTGCTTTCTCGCCGATCACAACACCTTAGATTCCTTAAATCACCGACTGAAGAACTCTAGTAGCATCACCATGGAAATCGATAGGATATTCCAAGCTGAGTAAATTTCATTGACTTCACTAGCTGACTATATATAGAATATACTCTTTTTTTTTAATCACCACATATAACTAAACTAATTGATACTAATTGAACACTTCACTATAGCTGACTTCGAAGTCTCTATTCAAGTGAAGTGTCGTAAATCCCAACTCTTTAGTTGCTGCTCGCGCAGCGGCGTCATCGGAGGGGATACCGGATAGCCGTTCAATTCTAGCGAGGGAAAAAAACAATTGCTCAACCATGATAGATAGATAGATAGATAGATAGATAGATAGATAATATATATATATATATTATAATATATATATATAACGCATTTACTAATCACATGCTGCATGATTCTCCAATGATTCTACACGAATGCCTGTCTGCTTAACGGCTTGCAATGCTTCGATTTGACTACAAGTCTGCGAAGATAAACATGAGCTGCTAACCAGCGAGATCAGCATTTTCGAGGCTGCCAAGGATCATCCTGTAACATAATCACGTAATTACTCATACAATGTGAGGCCCCCGTTCGATAGCTAAGTTGGTTTATAACTCCAATAACTATGGTTTATGGTACTTATAACTATAGTTACTGGGGCTTATGAACCAACTTATAACTGGGGGGCCTGCAATGCGTTGGTGTTTAAATTAACACCATGACCATGAACTACAGACATATATTTTTTTTGACATCATGTTGACGATACCCACTACTTCCAAGAACAAAGTTAAACGTTGTCGTTCAAGTAAAGCCATGACTTTACTTAAAGACACTCATTGACTGCTGATATATATATATATACCATTTGGCCATACTAAAGGTCAAAAAAGGTGACCTTTCCCCTGAGCCTAATCGAATCCGTAAATCAATCCTCAAAATTCTGAATAAACATATGTGGTTTCCATGCTCAAGTTTTTGATTGGTTTTCACGGGTTTTTCACTGTCTTTTCACGGGTTTTTCACGGTCGTTTCACGCACTTTTCACGCTCTGGGTTTGGAGTGGGATTTGTTTGAAACTCTGGAGTCCGGTATATATTTATACTAGTACTCATTGGGTCTGATAATGCCCAGTAAACACATGTCGCTTCGAACTTAAAAATGGGTGGATTTTCCATGGCAAACTGTTAGTCATAATCAGAGGGTAATTACAACAGTATAGTTTCACACAAATGGGATGCATTGTCATTTCTGTGATCACTGTGATCAGTCATTGTTGTTTTCTTCGGGACCGGAACACGCACACACACACACACGCATCACACATACATTCGACATGGCAGGAGAAATACCTCAAATTGGCACGTTGGAATGCATCCGACGCGCAAAAACAGCAAACCGTAAAAGCCTAAAATGAGTGAAGGCAAGAGATTGAAAAAAACATGTAGAAATAAATCACAGTAGACCTCGACGGTAAAAATCAACAGCAGTCACAGGTCTCTTTCAACTGCGTTTTTCCGGAGACCCCAGATCATCAGCGCCCCGTTGGCGCCACGTATATGGCCAGGATGACTCAAAGGAAGCATTGAAAAACCCTGGGGGTCCATATTTCTTTAGGGTTATATATGACGCAGCGGGTTTCGTCCTAACATAAAATATGTGCGAAGAATAAACCTGCATTTCAGGAGCTCGCTAAGCTCATTTGTGACTTTATAGCTAGCTCAAGATCTAGGTAGATGATAGCCCTTAGACACCCAAAAAAATTGTACCTCAAAGAAATCGATTCCCGAAATGGCTTATATCGACCCATAGTGGATGGTCTTTGCACCATTGGGATAATATGATAATCTCTCAATACTAGTGGGATAATATCAACCATTATATCTCCTCAACCCACGGGATAATATGATATCATCCTTAAGTCCTGAAAATTACTAATACATACAGGGGATAATATCAACCAATATCAACCATTATATCCTTACCCCACGGGATTCTTTTACGAAATCTCATCCCCCACAGGTCGACATTCCGACAAAATCTCTTCCTCGCGACCCCTTTTTCTCGACGGAAAAGCCACCAAAACCAGCGCTCTCCGCACGGCCCCAGGATCCAGACCCCTCTGGCGGCAACGCTTTGGACATTCGCTTCCTCCTGAAGCCCGGTGCTGCGTCGGGCACCTGGCGCCCAGAGGTGCCGTTGCTGTGCGCATCATCCTCGGGACGAGCACCTGGACAGCAGGGGAGGCACCAGAAAGGATGGGTTTAACATGGTTCAACCAAGAAAATTGTTGGTTTTTACTAGCAAAATGGTGGTTGAACATGGTTTAACCAACAGAAGTTGTGTTTTAACCAGCAAACATGGTGGTTGAACATGGTTTAACCAGCAAAAAGTGGTGGTTTGGTCCATAACAATGGAGGTTTTACAAGCAAGCAAGGTGGTTCCACTATGTTTTACTGATAAAACGTGTGATTTCACCGACAGGACAGATGGGGTAAAAGGGCTTAACATTGGATGAGTATACGAGTGGATCAGTTTTCTTGGTGTTTAATTGTGAAGTATAGAAACCAGCATATATTGATAAGTTGGTCCTTTATTTGCGCAGATATGGAAGATTGGCCATTTTTAGAGGGTGTGGCTAAGTGACCTCAAAGCCTAGGCCCTGTCAATGGAAAATCCCCCGACTTGTTGGTGTCCTCTTTGTTGATGTCTGCTATAAGGTTTATGTTCACATTTGTTGCTTGATGTTTTCATATTTGTGTTGTGTTTTCAACCTCAGTAGAAGATTCAATGATCCCTTTTTGTCGGAATGATGATCCCCTATTTTTTTCGTAGATGTTTCATGGTGAAGTGGCTGAATCATCAAGTGTCCCCCTAATAAAACAGCCCCCACAAGACCTGGTTTTCCCGGAGCTCAGTTTGCTCACCCGCCAAGCATCAATTTTTCTGGGTGAACACCCTGGGTTGCTGAGATGTCTGGAAAAAGGATCCTTGGTCCGGCCGTGATGAACCCCGTTGTGGGGTGAACCCATCATGTTCTTGCCAAAAAGGGGAATATCGACTATAATTAGTGAGTTTTCGAAATGTTAGAATGTGAAGTTTGAAGGCTATCTAAGATTGCTGATGGGTCACACATATTTTTTTTTGCAACTGTTTATCCCTAACTTAGTTTTGCGGTGGTGCGGAAGACCTACCGGGCAGATATGGGCAGATCATGTTCCGAAGGGATTTTTTCATGGGTTTTCCACCTTGATAGCGAAGTTGGTTGAACCAAGTTATCTAGGTGAATTATATATTTAATTCTATATGTGTTATGGATGTTCATGGTAGATATAACATGGTATAACATGATATACTCTCCGGTAATTTGTTACATAGCTATTGAAACTGGCCCATTTATAGATGATTTACTTATTAAAAATGGTGATTTTCCATGATTTTCCATAGTTATGTTAGTTTACCAGAGTGTAACGAACTCGTATTCCTGGGGTGACACCAAAGCAATTTCCCAGGTCTATGCCTTCGTAGAATGAGGCGCGAGGTGTTAAAGGACGGCTCTGGAGCTGGATAAATGGACAAAATCCGCTAGGAACAATGGGAACCTATAGGAAAATCGCAGGACATATATAGAAAATCCCCGAAGGGAATGGAGGGTAGATCATTTTCTAGCATATTCAGATCATATATCTTCGAATAAGATCTTATGTCATTATGTTGATCAGATGATTTTTGCTCTTGACAAGACCTGGGTTTGCCGAAATACATAGCCAAATCATGGAAGGTAATTGGTTATGATTATGACGTTTGTTTTATATGATGGTTTTTATTTTTTTTTATTATATAAAATTGGATGTGTCTGAACATGGGGGAATAGGCCTCCCAAAAAATGTTATTGTATATTGGGAACATTGCAACATTCTGCCTGAGTCAGCTCATGAAACCCGCAGGACATTGCGTCGAAGTCAATGGGCGCTGTGTGCGTTCAAGAAACGACGACTGGACGACCGGTTGTTAGTAAAAATGGCGGCAGCTGGGATTGTTTTTGCGACCTTTTTTTGGCAACGGGCTGAAACCAAGATAGATTTGATTCAAGCTTTGCTCCCAGTTCTTGTTTTGCGTTTTTTTTTAATTAAGTTGATCTTGGTTGTTTCTTGTACCTGGATACGATGTTGCCAACGTCCGTAACTGTGATCTATGGATCTATGGATCTATGAGTAAAAAGCTTAGCAAAGTAAGCAGAATATGAAAATATCGTACGACAAGTTGTTCAGCATCACGTCAGTTTCTAAGCTGCGGCTATAGGATAGTCTCTTGATGTCTCTTGTTTTTTCCCCACCTGCCAGGTGAGGGTTGTTAGATTTTATCTAAGTTGCCTTCTCCTCCTCCTCCTCTCCTCCTCCTCTCCTCCTCCTCTCGTCGTCCTCCTCCTCTCGTTGTCCTCCTCCTCTCGTTGTCCTCCTCGTCTCGTTGTCCTCCTCGTCTCGTTGTCCTCCTCGTCCTCCTGCTCAACTGCGACTCGCGATCCACAGTGTTCGCTGCCGGACCTCAACCACGACCATCCACGCCCAGTGTTCCCTGCCGGACCTCAACCACGACCATCCACGCCCAGTGTTCCCTGCCGGACCTCAACTTAACCACGACCATCCACGCCCAGTGTTCCCTGCCTGACCTCAACCGCGAGTATCCATGCCAAGTGTTCCCTGCCGGACCTCATGTAGGAAGATAAAATGTCAGATAGAGTGCCAGAAGATTTGCCAGGTAGAATGCCAGAAAATATGCCAGAAGATATGCCAGATAGATATGCCAGAAGATATTCCAGAAGATATGCCAGATAGAATGCCAGATAGAATGCCAGATATAATGCCAGAAGATATGTCAGAATATATGCCAGAAGATATGCCAGATAGAATGCCAGAAGATATGTCAGATAGAATGCCAGAAGATATGCCAGATAGAATGCCAGAAGATTTGCCAGAAGATATTCCAGAAGATATGCCAGAAGATATGCCAGATAGAATGCCAAATAGAATGTCAGAAGATATGTCAGATAGAATGCCAGAAGATATGCCAGATAGAATGCCAAATAGAATGTAGAAGATATGTCAGATAGAATGCCAGAAGATGTGCCAGTAAGAACATGTATAAATGTCATGGTGGGGATCACACGAAGTAAAGTATTTTTCTGAAAACATTATATATATATAATTATATATATAATTATATATATAATATATATATAATATATATATAATATAATGATATATATATATATAATATAATGATATATATATATACGAACCAAATCCCACGGTATATCAGTGTATCTGTTTTTTTTTGCCATGAAATGGGGGTATCACCCATTTTGAGACTCCCATTTGAAGACATCCGGTCGAAGCTTCAAGGCGTCAAAACAAAAATCGGGGATTTGGCCCCCCCAAAAGTTGCAAGTTTAACCAAGAAAATTGATATGATAAAGCATGGGATAGGTAGTGTATTTTTCAAACAGACCGCGGGGGTTGTCCATTGGGGGTACCCATCCAAATCCATGTTCTGTGATTTCCTGGCAGGCCTTTGAAAAACAAAGAAGAGCGGTTGCGAATAACCTCAAAACCAAAGGCCAGGGTCCCCTTACAGGCTGGGTAAAATCTGGCAAACTTGGACATATTACCCTCCAGTAAATTAACATAGACCCTGCCAGATAGGGGTTGGAAGATCAGTTTCCATTAAAAATTGATTATTTTCGGGGTCTATGAAAATTTACCAAAGGGTAACTAGCCATTTTAGAAACATCCTTGATACAGTACCTCGTTTCCCCAGCTGTGTCAAGCCGACTGTGGATTTTCCTCCACTTCCCATCCCAAGTTGAGATCCAGCGTCATCATGTGTCGAACACCCCCATTCATCTGCCTGGACTGGCAAAAGAAATCCGGCAAGGAAGAAATTGCCAATCTTTTGTTTCAGCGGGGCCAAGGAACCAAAACACTTTGGGTAGTTGGTGGTTTGGAACAGTTTTTACTTTTTCATATATTGGGAATAGTAACCCCAACTGACGAACTCCATCATTTTTCAGAGGGGTAGGTCTACCAACAACCAGCTAAGTAACTAAGTATGATATAGTATGATCATCAATGGGAGTAAACCACATTAAACCATACAATCACCATATATTTCGGGTAGCTCTACCACCGGTAGTTGGAGTAGTTTTTTCTTCCCCAACGTCTGGTGGGTCGTCGATGAAACCTATCCTGGATGAAGCACTTCAAGGGATGACCGGCTCACCATGCTCACCCAACAAGCGACCAGATCTGAAACGAGTACATGTTCCATTTTTCTTAGTTTTAATAGGTACCCTCTGGTAATTTAACAGTTTGCTATTGAACATGGACCATTGATAGTTGATTTTCCCATTAATAGCATGGTGATTTTCCATAGTTTTTTGTATGTTTACCAGAGGGTATGTTAAACCATACCCACAATGGTGGTGGTGATTCTCCCAGTGATTGATGTTTTATACTAAAATCGGAGATTTCACCACATAGATGTCCTGCTGGTTGGTTGATTATGGTTGATTTTGCTAGGCATTATATGGCTATGGATCAATACCTATTATATAATACCATTTTTAGGGGGATGAACATCCATTTACCAGCTATTTTGATGTTCACCAGGGGTACAAGGTGTTGACACACTGCCATATGGCATTCTCACTGTTTACAACCTTACAACCAATAGGTACATGACGATAAATGGTGTTTTTTATTCTACAGTAGACCGGCCCCTTTTGGACACAACGTTGGGGGGATCACCTTGTGGGGGGGGCGGTAAATGTACAGTACGTGTTTGTTGGCGGTGGCAAACATGTTTCGAATAACACCATTCCAAATCATCAAAAAATAGCACATGATTCGAACATAATATATTATTCCAAACAAATGATAATAATAACACATTAATATAATGAATTAATAATATTCTCATCAATCATGAATATTGTCATTCCAAATCCCATAGAACAGTGATCAAATCCAAATCCCAGTGATCAATTTTTGATACCTTTTTCGAACATAAATTAATATATAGCAATTTGAACATAAATACCAATATCAATAGCAATTTGATACCAAATCCCAGGAACTCTTTTTTTGGGGGGGTCCTATTTATATATTGCTTCATTTCTTCTTGGTAGATCCCATGTAGAACCTAGAACTTGACCATAGCGCGAGGTC